ATTGGTTAAAAAGCAGGTGATTAATCAACTATAATCATTTAATCAGCTGACAGCACCAACTAATCTATCATGTTGTTGCTGTGTCCTATCAAAGTAAAACACGAAGCTCTCACGATTCTGTTGATGCTGCCAGGTTCCATACTGGGGGCCCTTGGGGAAGGGCTGTGTAGCTCAGTGGTAATGCAACTGCTTTGCATGCAGAAGGTTCCACATACACACAGTAAGCTGCCTTACACTGAGCAAGGCCATTGGTCCACCTAGCTCCGTATTATCGCCACTGACCACCAGCAGTTCTCCCAGATTTCAGGCAGGAGCCTCTCCCAACCCTACCTGGAAGTGCCATTGGGGATTGAACTTGGGACTTGCAAGGTAGATGCTCTGCTACTGAGCTGTGCCCCTGCCTCCAAGGTCTCAGGTCTCCAGACAGGGCAGACCAGATTCCTATCTCAAACCCTGGAAAGCTGCTGCCACTCTGCGTTGACAGTACTGAGCTAGTTTGTCCAAGAGTCTGACTCAGTATAAGTCAAATTCCCATGATGGATTAGGTCTGTCTCTCTCCACAGCCTCCATTAGCCTGGAGTTGTTTTCTCTTCAAGGAAGAACTCATTAGCACTCCTTGGTTCTCTGTGGCTTCCAGAGAAAGGCTCAAAGACCAGCTCTCCAAGAAGGTGATTTGCAGCCGAATACCTCTCTCACATGATCTAAAGTTAAACAACATGTGAGAGCTAACAGAGAACATCAACAGTTAATTATCAACCCATATACATTCAGAGAGCTCTTTTTAGCTTCAGTATAGCTCAGTGGGATTTCCCAGTGTTGAACCCTCAACAATACACATTCAAATACACACAGTCATATTCCATACAGACTCTAAGCAGATAGCCCACCAGACACCAACTCTACTTAAAATCTTAGGAGATCTTCCGCAACAGAGAAGATCTGAGTTCTGTAGCCATCTTGAAGGGTAGTTGTTGAGATGCCACCCCAAGGCCACAGATGTTGCGGCTCCTGCTCAGGGAACTCCAAGAGCCTGAGTCACCTTGCCGCGCATTGAAATTCCAGCAGCAGCAGCATCCTGCACCCTTTGAGCCTTGTGGAATTTTCTTGGGAAGGTCATAAAATGAAACATTGCCGCATGCTAACTTAAAGGTTACAAAATCATGGGCTCGAGCAGATGCATTAGTCTGTGACAACGCTGGCATCCTTCCAGCTGTCTACAGGAGATGAAGGGAAGGGCTGGGGAGGAAGAACACTTAAGTGAACATCTGTGGCTGGGGACAAATGCTTTCCTTAAAAAAAAAAAAGTCCCTGAAGGCCGCATAAGAGAGCCAAAGACCCATTTAAAGGGCCCAAAGAACCATTTAATCCATTGCTTACTTTCCCAACAGTGCCCAGTAGAATCTCGCTAGATGGAAACCAGGGAAGGCTCGTCTATACAGGGGCACACAATTTCATCCAAGAACATGAAACCACCACCACTTAAAACCAAACCTCAAAATGTAGCAGCACCCAGTGTAGCTGGTGCAGACAGTGGCATGCGGTGCAATTTTTCATAGGGAAACGGTTAGGGCCAGGGATTAGTGTGAGCATCATGCTTCCCTTCCTAAGCTGGGCAGAAGCTTCCCAGGCTTTGGGAAGGAGGCACCAGGCTATAATACTTCAATACTCTAATTTACTGGGAACATTTAGGGGACTAGCCTAGTCCCCTAGTCCACTGGGTACAGAATAGGTGTTATGCAGAAACAGCTTGCTGGGTGGGGCAGGGGCTGCAATTCTAGCTTCCGAGCAGGTGGGTGACTGTTGCTTACCTGGAGAGAGAGGGGGGAAGCAGTGGCGAACCGACTGGGAGAGAGAACACTACTTGACAGTCCTGGTGAGATAACCAACAGTCGCCTTTGAGCCTCACTAACCTGCTTACAGGTGAATTCTCAAAGTTTGGGGGACTTTGGCCCTTCTGCTTCATGCCACTGGGAAATTCCGGGGCGTCAGCGTACATCTGGCGATTCCAAATGCATGAATGCTTCAGCGCCCTCCCACCAGTTATCACTTAGATTCCTATTAGGCAGCGGAAGCCAGGCAGAAGAACTCCAATGCTACCTTTAAGGCTCACCTGAGCGGAAGCGTCCAGATAAATTGCATTGTGCACAGCGCCCTGGCAGCCTGTGCAGCTAACCTGTCAGAAAATTGCTTAATTCTGTTGGCTGAAGTGTGGAAGGATTATGGGGTGTGACATATGGCCCATCTCTCTCTCTCTCTCTCTCTCTCTCTTTCTTTCTTTCTTTCTTTCTTTCGTTTCCCCTCCATTAAGAATGAACCCCTGATCACAGGAACTGGCTTCTTGACTCTCATGGAAATCATATGTGCCTTTCTTTCCCAAGAAAAGCAAAGCTCTGGTGATGCTTTTCTCAACTTTTTGTTTGTTTGTTTTTTGTTTGGAACATTTGTACCCCGCCCTTCAGTCAAAAAGGCTCCCAGAGCACCTTACATATGATCAAAACAAGACAGTCCCTACCCTCAGGCTTACTATCTTTTTAATAATAATAATTTTTAAAAAGGGACACGGGTGACGATGTGGCTAAAACCACAGAGCCTAGGACTTGCCGATCAGGTCCTCAGTTCGAATCCCCGCAATGGGGTGAGCTCCCGTTGCTCGGTCCCAGCTCCTGCCAACCTAGCAGTTCGAAAGCACGTCAAAGTGCAAGTAGATAAATCCAGCAGGAAGGTAAACAGCGTTTCCGTGTGCTGCTCTGGTTCGCCAGAAGCGGTTTAGTCATGCTGGCCACATGACCTGGAAGCTGTACACTGGCTCCCTCGGCCAGTAAAGTGAGATGAGCGCCGCAACCCCAGGAGGTTGGCAGGAGCTGGGACCGAGCAACGGGAGCTCACCCCATTGCGGGGATTTGAACCGGCAACCTTCTGATCGGCAAGCCCTAGGCTCTGTGGTTTAGACCACATACAATATCCCAATACAGATATAGCAGCATTTAAAAATATATGTTAAATCTTAATAACTAAAATATAACCTAAAATTGGCAAACTCAGCCCTCCAGATGTTTTGAGACTACAACTCCCATCATCCCTGACCACTGGTCCTGTTAGCTAGGGATGGTGGGAGTTGTAGACCCAAAACATCTGGAGGGCCAAGTTTGCCTATGCCTGGTCTATATACTGCAAATAAGAACTTTAGGTGACACCGAAAGTCTTCAAAGGAAGCAGGCACCACACTCCAAACATGGATCATCTGCACATCTGCTTATCTCGGGCCTAAAAAGCATGTGACCAAATGATTTTACCTCTGCCCCACCACGTCCCCCCAGAAAACACATTCTTTAGTGCTAAATCAAAATAAATGTCAATCCATGGAAAACCTGATCTGGTTCAGCACTAAACCCTGGGTTTTTCTGGGGGAAGGTGCCAGGGCAAATGGAAGAGTGGATGAACCCACACTGGCAGCAATCATGTACCTGGATACGTACCTGGATGGGGCTGAGGTAGGGAAGGGCAGCAGCAAGGTTGGACCTCCACGTTGCACCAGCAGAGCCAATCCAGCATCCCTGCTGGTCCATCTGTGCAGCCAGACCATCACCCTGCCTTGCCCCAGGCCTGTCATGCTATAGTGAGACCAGTACTAAGTGGACAGCTTCATAGATCTGCTCCACCACTTCATCCATTGCTGGGCAAATCTATTGGGAAGATGAAACAGTCTGGTGGGCCAGTCACAAAAAGAGGGCATCACAGGGTTAGAACAGGTACAGAAAAAGGGTAGAATAATTAAGACAGTGGGAACTCTGCTGACCAAAAGTTAAAGGTGATGATGATGATGATGATAATTAATAATAATAATAATAATAATAATTTATTATTTATACGTCGCCCTTCCAGCTGGGCTTCCCCAGCCACTCTGGGCGGCTCCCAACAAAATATTAAAAATACAATAAAACATCAGACATAAAAAAACTTCCCTTCAGGGCTGCCTTCAGGTGTCTTCTAAAAGTCAGATAGTTGTTTATTTCCTTGACATCTGATGGGAGGGCGTTCCACAGGGCAGGCACCACTACCAAGAAAGTCCTCTGCCTGGTTCCCTGTAACTTCACTTCTCACAGTGAGGGAACCACCAGAAGGCTCTCATAGCTGGACCTCAGGGTTATATCCAAAGTTAGTCATACTAAAATTACTGAAATGGATGGACTTAAGCACCGACCTAAGACTAATGGACTTTGAAGATGCTCAAACTCATAGGGAGAAAGATACTAAGAGGAAGGCATGTTTGGCAAACCCTCACCGTGATCAACTCCCACCCGAAAACCTATGTCCCCACTGTGGAAGGATGTGTGGATCCAGAATTGGCCTCCACAGTCATTTATGGACTCATTGTTAAAACTGTGTTCATGGAAGACGATCTTACTTGGCTATGAGTGATCACCAAAGAAGAAGAAGAAGATATTTGATGCCACTCAGTAGGATTCTGGTGATGCATCTCTTTGTCCCTTGTTACAACACACGAATCAGTGAAGGAAACAATTTATTGGAAGAGTTGCCTAAAGACAATTAGGCCGTGTTCATGGAAGACAATCTTACTCGGCTATGAGTGATCGCCAAAGAAGAGAAGAAGAAAGAAGGGGCTAATAATAAATAATAGTAGTAGTAGTAGTAAATTTTATTTATACCCTGCCCTCCCCAGCCAAGGCCGAGCTGAGGGCAGCTAACACCAAATATAAAAACAATTGATTAGAATACAGCGTAAAAAACAAGATTAAAATACAACATTAAAACATTAAAATGCAGCCTCATTTCAGTGGAACTCAATCAAAAACCTTTTGGGGGATAAAAACGTCAAGTCTTCACCAAGCCTGACTATCCAGACTGGTCCTACATGGGCCAGTAAAAAGCCAGGGAAGTCCCCAAATAGGAGTTCCAACACAGAAGGAGAAAGAAAAAAAAGAAAGAGGGGGAGGGAATCAAATTGATAAGACTGTTGGAAGGTTCAGAAAATGTTAGAAGCCCTCCTGTAGCACAGTGGGTCAGTAGGTCTGGCTGTTGACTGGAAGGTTGGTGGTTCAAGCCCGCCCAGGGACGGCTGTGGGCAGGATTCCTGCATTGTGGGGGGTTGGACTAGATGAACCTTGGGGTCCCTTCCAACTCTACAGTTCTATGATTCTATAACTCAGGACAGATTAAAGGAAGCACCCTGTGGTGGAGAGACAAATTGTTCCTGCCCCCAGGGTGCTTTTCACCTGGCAGACTTAAGTGCATAGTCTCCAAGGCTGGTAGAGTTATTTTGACCCTGGAGACAAATAATCCCACTCTCTTTCCTCCCTTTCCGCTAAAAATTCGAGAATAATACATCCAAATTTGCTGCCCTTGCCAATCAGCTGCTTGAATCCGCCATCTCACTCTGCCTAATGGTAGGGCCAGCCCTGCTTAGTAATGACTTGTATTATGTTACTACTAAATTGAGCGCCTAGCTAACACTTGTAAGAGCTGCATGATAGAATGTACAAAATTCAGAGTGGAGATCAATGTCTGAGTACCCGGGCAATTTTATTTTTTTTAAATGGTGGGTCGTTTGGACTCTGCTTCACATAGCTTCATGGCTTTGCTGCTAAAATTAACAGTCAAGGCTGCGAGGAGGCGTCCTCTCTCTCTCTCTCTCTCTCTCTCTCTAACAAAAAAAAAAACACCCCAGAACTCAATCAATTAAATTGATTGGCAGCAGGAATTAAGACAAACAAATGTAAGCAGTTCTGGCGATGCAAAAGTAACAGACGAGATTCGTTTCCTCAAGATGTGATGATGGCTGATAGTGTAGGTGCCTTTTTCCAACAACAACAAAAATAGACCCAAGGCTTTGTCAACCGTTGACTTAGCCCAGACGACTAATAATGGACTACCCAAGGCAGTGGGTGGGCAGGCAAGAGTGGGTGGGCAGAGGTGGGCTGTAGGCACACAGAGGAAGTGGAAGAGGAGGCAGCAGCAGCAGCAGGGGTATGTGGTATTTTTATTTTTTTCCTCTAGTAGCAAAATGTCCTGGGCTGGCCCTGATCCTGAGATCGATGGGCCAATGAGTCTGACATGGTGTAGGGCAAAATCCAACATTCACATTTTTCCCCCAGTAAGTGCAGAATTGTTTTTCCCAAAAAAAAAGAAAGAGCCTTAGGCGGGAGGAAGTATAAAGGTCATATTAGAAAGACTGCGACAGGGTCACTCTTGATAGCCCAATTTTACAGCAAGGCGATCAGAAGTGTCAGTGTGACTTAGCTGCAGGTGCTCTTTTAATGTGACCTGGTCTTTAGCAATAAGAAATGTACTGAAAGCAGAACCACACTTGTGATTGAATGAAATAGCGCGCACGCACAAAACCGACAGGGCCAGCGTGCCAAATGTAGACTGGACTGAGGGAGGGAAGCTTTATAAAGGACTCCTTTCCCCCTTTAGATTTCAACCCCAACCCCCTCTTCTTCTCCCAAGTAAGAGTGGAATGTGCAAGGAGCTAAAATTACATTGTTTTAAAAGGCAGAAGTGTGACACGGTACCATTTTCTGTCCCTGCCCTGCCCCATTTAAAATGGGTCATTTTTTTTAAGTTGGAATTTTTTCCCATTCTTGTCAGTTCTGCAACCTATCATTGTCCGCACCAACGACAACAAAAAGAGTTAATTCCAAAAAGGAAATACAAAGATCAGGATGCTTGATGGCATCAGCCAAATAAAGGCACTTTAGGGAACACACAAAGTCAATTTGGGAGAAATTGCTCTCTGCAAATACTGTTTGGTAGTCTTCCTTTTCATCCCTGCACTGCTATCTTCATTATGAACCTTTTAGGTTAAAAGGAAGATCCTTTCACTCACTGTTTATGACTAGAATTATGCTTTCAGCCGCAATGCACTTATGAGGAACGCAATTTTTCCAGCACACCTTTCCTGAAAGAATGGGCAGTTGGATCAAAATTGATCAGGGAAATATTTATCGGACCAAAGTAATGATTTGCTAGCAGTCACTCCGTGAGACTGCCGAGTGATCAGTTTGCCCACACAAATTGCACTTGGAGAACTCTAAATGCTCAAACTGCACCATGGGCCAGTGACTTAGGGGCAAAACTCCTCCTTTTCTTTCACATGGGGGTGGCACCACTGTGCATGGGGTCTATCCCCACATCGACTACCAATGAAACTTAAGCATGCCCATAATTCTTTTGGTACCAGGGTTGGACACCCAGACACTTGCTTTCTGTACAGAGGAGAGGCGCAAAGAGTTTATCTCTGTGTGGTGCCAGCTGAGCCAAGTGGGTTTTGTTCCATTAAAGAGGGTGGCTGATGGGGGCAGGTGGTGTGGGAATGTTAAGGAAGGTAGGGAAGGATATACTGAATAAGTGAGTGATGTAGCAGAGCAAATTCCCCTCAATGTAGCTGGAAGCTAGTTTGCAGATTCATTTGAATCTCTTAGTTAAGATTATTTCCTGGTGTCCCCTTTAATCCCTCTTAAAAGAATAAAGACACGAGAGTCTTTCTGAGTAAAGTAACAAAAAGTTTACTCACATTTCAGTTCACGATATGAAAGCTTGTTAGTTACATAAACAGTGTGAGTTGAGCTCATATGGAGACTGAACTCACGTGCTGCTGGCTGAGAGCCAGCAGACAGCAAAATGACATTAAGACAACAAAATGGCTGCAGGAGAGCAGCATGACAGCAAAAGAACAGCAAGCAGGACAAGAGGAAAAACAAGAAGACTGCAAGTGAGAAAATGGCTGCATGACTCGGCTCTTTTAAGGAGTCAGCCAGAGCCACGCCCATCTCCCAGGTCACATGCAGGGGGAAGATGCTCCAGACCAGTGGAACAGGAAGTTACCCAGACTGGATGTCCCCTTGCCTGTGCCACTCTAGGGAAATAAGGAATGTTGCATTTGACTGCACCAATGGATTACATCCCACAGGTGGGTCGTGCATGCCCTCTTTTCCTGCTTCTTTTGTATTGGACTCCCCCTACCCCACAGCAGCCCTTTTGCGATGGACGCTCAGGGTACACCCCCAAAATTCCAAATGTGGCCACTATCCCCAGAAGGCTGACGAAACCCGGGCAACACCCAGCTAGAATGAAGCACTGTTATGAGTCCTATTGATATCCATGGGAAAGTTACAAACCTGCAAAAAAAAAAATCCCACCCATTGAAACCAAATTCTTGCCAACCTAGCAGTTCGAAAGCATGTCAAAGTGCAAGTAGATAAATAGGTGCCGCTCCGGCGGGAAGGTAAACGGCGTTTCCGTGTGCTGCTCTGGTTCGCTAGAAGCGACTTAGTCATCTGGCCACATGACCTGGAAGCTGTATGCGGACAAACGCCGGCTCCCTCGGCCAATAAAGCGAGATGAGCGCCGCAACCCCAGAGTCGATCACGACTGGACCTAATGGTCAGAGGTCCCTTTACCTTATTGAAACCAATGGGGCTTCTAGGTATTTTGGCCAGGCCATGCCCTGCATTAGACAGGAGTGAAGGATCAATGTCGCCTCTTTTTTTAGCTCAGCCACACTGTGAGTTAGGTGTCTGTTATTCCCCTCACAGAGGTTGTGAACTGATCACCTTTCCCAATTTTACCTTGGAGCCCTCCATATAATCATAGCATTGGAAGGGACCTGAGGATCGTCTATTCCAACCCCCTGCAATACAGGAATGAATATGCAGCCATCCCATATGGGGATCAAACCTGCAACCTTGGTGTTATCAGCACCATGCTCTCACCGACTGAGCTATCCAGGCTACTGAGCCATCACCCCTGATCACTGGACATGATTCTTGAATCTGATTAGAAGAAACCACATTGGCTAGCCCTGTTAGAATACACTCCCCTTCTCATGCCATCCTGGTAATTTTTGAAAAGGAGATTGAAGTGGGTGCATCAAACACCACCATTACTTCACTGCCCACCTTTCTCTTTCTCTCTCTATGTATCCCACTCTTTCTCCTGGAGCCTCATAATAGCATAAAATGGGGTTAGCGTATTTTCTCCCTGCAACAACCTGGCGAGGTAGGTTGTTATTTACCTACAGGACCTTGAGGGCAGGCTGAAAGAAGGTCACACAGCAAGCTACGTCGGGCTTTGAACCCGCTTCTCCTCATTGCAAGTCCCAAAAGCCACTTATTTCACCCCCTGAAAACCTCACCCCTTGGCCAGTGTGTGAACTGTAAGACAACAGGGTTCCAAAAGGAAGAGTCTTGGCAGAGCCCAGGAGTGGGTAGGTCAGTACTGAAATACCATTTTGACTGATTTCTTCTAATCAGTCAAATACCATTTTTGCAATACGTGTTAAATAACAGCTATGGAGGCAACTCGGCTTATTTTCAATGGAGGGTATAATTCCAAAGTCTTTCAAAAGAAAGAGGAGGGAGGGGGAAAACTCTGCTCTTTGCTAACCATAGCTGATTGTTGACTTCAAATGGTGCCAGCTGTGGGCAAATTGAATAAAACATTTGCTCTGCATCCTTTATTTGCAAAGCTCAGAACTGTAAACTTTCCCACCTCTTTTGCCTTCTCCCTCCCCCCTCGAACCACCCTCAGGAGTTGGAGTCTAGCTTTTCTGTGAGTCATGGAGCCGGCAAACAGCACGCGCTTTGAGAACATCGCAAGCGAAATGTGCCGAAAGGAGGAGCTGAGAGGAACGGCGTACCGGCTGAATGACGTTCCGGAAGCTTTGCAAGAGGTTAGAAGTACCTCGGGGGCAGCGGTTGTGGAAAACGCGCTGGAGAAGCTGAAAGCCGGGAAGAGCAATGTCAGGGAAAAACAAGGTCATGATCTGGACAGGTTGGTCCTGAAAAGAAAGTCGGAAAGCAACGATAAGCCAGGCGTGAGGAAGGAACAACGCTTGATGGAGCCAGAGAACCAGACCCTCCCTGTACTGCTGCCCCACATCCCCCTAAAAAGCCTGATGGAGGTCGAAATGAAGTTGGTGTACACAGACGAGGAAGACGTCACCTATGAGTTTCTGGCAGCTCAAGTGGCCCCAACCAACACTCAGGCCAAATGCACAGGGTCTGCAAATGTAGATTCCCCAAGGCTGCCTAGCATGAGCAGGCAACCACAGATGG